TCCTGCATTGGATCCTGTAGGTAATTTTATGCAGGCTTGATGAGCATCTCAGCTGCTGGGGGAGACGACACAAGCCTTTCCTACCATTGTTGATAGTTCGATTTGCTGGTCCAAAGGTGTGGTTGAATGCAAGAAGCTATTTCATGTTCGCACGGTGCTGGTTGGTCATCATGCAGCATGTAGCTTGGATCGCAGACCTGTCTCAAGCGCTCTGCTATACTGATGGCCTCCATCCGGATATCGAAAAAGGGATACCGACCAGCAAGTAGAGAGAGTTGATGTTAGTGAGCTTGAGGCAGCCGAATGTGATGTGGCAACTTTCAACAAGGGCAGGATCAATGATTATGTGTTGATATCGCCCCAGACAGGACCGGCATACTTGGCAGCAGAGTAGAGGACCAAGGCAGCCGATATCAACACTTGTGGTGATGCTGCCCACTGCAATGATGTCAATTTCCGGAGGATGTTGGTGTGGGTGACACTTAGGCTTTGGTCTTTTTGATGGGCTCCTTGAAAGTCAGACTGTGGTCGAGTGTCACATCGGGTTAGACGGGGTACTGGCAGTGTTTGAGACTCTGGTCGACCCAGGAGGCAAACAGTTTGGTTTTAATAGCAGGTTTCGCTTTGAGGTGGTTTACACTGTACATTTAGCACTGCTGTATTTATTGATTTATTTATAGTTTTATTTAACCCTAAAGGGGCCGGGTTATTTTGACCATCTCTCAGCCGGGGGGGGGGGGGGGGCGGATCCCCCTAAGATCTCGGCCATCGAGTGACGACAATTTTTGAAACTCAGCACATGCATAGAGCAACTCTTCCTAAACATGCCCAAGAAATTTCATGACTATAGGTCAAAGGGTTTTGGATTTATGGCTAATTAATTATTCATATGTATGAATGGCAATTCTGCTCGGTGTACACGACGTATATGGGAAAATTCAGTTTTCACGGGGCGTAGCGCCGGAAAATTTTTCGCTACGTGCCAACCCGTGGACCGATTTTTATGTTTTTGGTATCAAAAGATGCGCAAAGCTCGAGGCTAAAAAGTCATGACAGCTCGGGTTGCGAATTTTTTTTTTAGAGGCTATCGCGGAAAATGTTGAGGGGGGGGGGGGATTCCGCCCCCGGCCCCTTTTAGGGTAGCCTCCATCAGTTAAAAACTGCAATTACTGAGGGTCCTGTATAAAATGATAAGAATCAAATTAAATAAAAGATAAATGTTATGTAAAATCACTAAGAACGTAAAGTAAAAGTAAAAACTAGAATGAAGAAACAAAAATAAAGGGGTGTGAATACAAAAAAAGAACAAATTTAAACAATAAGAAACATATATAAACACTGACGAAATACAACACAGAAATTAAATTAACATAACAAAAAAAAAAAAAAAAAAATTTAAATTTATATTACGAAATTTAAAATAAAAAAAGGAAAAACTTGCAGAAAAAAATCAACCAGTTACAAAAAAAAAGACTTCCAAAAACCAAAAGAACAACCACCCCCAACACCCCAACAAACAAACAAACAAACACCCCAACACCCCAACAAACAAAAACAAAACAGATACGTAAAAGATAGGAATGGGAATAAAAATTAAACTTAAATATTAAAATACTGAAATAAACAGTAACTAACGACAGCACAGAAATAAAATTGAGCTAAGCAAACAAACACCAAAAACAAATTAAAAATAAAAATGACACAGTTTGAAATAAGAAGAAGAATAAAATAAAACCAGTAAAGTCCAAAGATTACTATATGAAATAAACTAATAATGAATTGGAAAAAAGGGGGGGGGTTTAAAGTAACTCGGTATTCTTGTAAACTGAAACCGCCAAAAAAAAACTATTTAAAAAAACTTTAAAAGTAATGAAGTAAAATGAGAAAGCCATGCAAAATTAGTTTAAAAGAGATTTAAAAATATTTAAAGACTTGGCCTTTCGCTGGGCTGTGGTTACGTTGTTCCATCCAAGGGTCCCACAATACTGAAATGTGTGCTTGGCGGCATTTGTTTTGGGAACAATGGTCACTGGTCAAGAGCATCGGCCAATGTCTTATCTGTCGCGGTAAAGCATGTGTGTTGATATGCTATACACAGGTCGTCTGCAAGCGCTTTGGGAGCGAATCTGTCGGTAGTGGTATAGATGTTGTACGGGTGAGGTGCTTTACACTCCCTCGGGAGACCGTTCTGTTGAAGACGTATCATACTCTTCTTGCCTTTGATACAAAGAAACAGCGGTTCTTCAGAACACCAATGAATTGGGTAAGGGTCAGGTCTGCCGTTTAAGCCAGGTTCTTCTGCGGGAGTCAGCTATGGTTAACAGTGTCATAATCAGCTGTAAGATCACCAAGACAGTGCCGGTGATCCTTTGTTTCTGGTGGAAGCCGTCCTCAATGTACTGAGTGAGGTTTAGATGCTGTCTAATTGATGGTTTGACTGGACGGAAGTCTGGCTGCGTGTTCCTTTTATCGGTTGTTTCTCAATAAAGGGGGCAAGACGATTGAGGAGGAGACGTTCCAGCAACGTAAATGCGTGACTTAAAGGAGAGTTGGGTCGATAACGTTTGACCTGCAGTAGGTCTTTTCCAGGTTTTAGGAGGGCGATGACCTTCGACTTACGCCACTCCTTAGGTATTGTGTGTGTGGCGAGGCGGGCGTTGAAGAGCTGGAGTTACCAATTTGAGGCGTTTGGTCCAAGATGTTTCAGCTCTTCGGTGAAAATGTTTAATATCCAATTGTGTTGCTTTTCTGTTCTTTATTCATGCCAGTCGCAAGTTCATTAGCAGAGAAGGGTATGGTGAAGCCAAAGTCGATGGCGGGGTCTTTCTGGTGGAGCTTGGGTTTTCGTCGCTTATGAGAACTTGGCATTTGAATATTTAATAGCAGTTGTTGTGGGCTACTTGGTTGGCTATGATGTTACAATGTTGTTCACTTGCCTTTGTGAGAACATTGCTGAGTTTGTTTTAGTAGACTCCAGACTTTCGTGTTGTTCTTGGCCTTATTGGTGGTTACCACAAGGTTTTGCCGCAAGCTTTGACGCTGTTCTGATATGGCTGTTTTTAATTATTCCCCGGCTGAGATGGTATCGACAGCAAGAAGGTAGTTTTCAAACAGGCGCTTGTATTTCCTGTAAAGTTCAGCACTACGGGGTGCTAGGCCTGCCATGTAATCAGTTCGGCAGCCCCAAGGGATGTTCTTGCACCACTACGTCTATTAACAAGTGTCATATTTTTGGTGTTGGATCAATGTCAAGTAGATGGTGCTTAAGCTCATTGGTTAAGCCTTCTCGGTTGGCCTTACTAAGTTGAAATGGCGGCAGAATGGAATTGTTGCTGGAGAGACAGCAGCAGTCACTTGGATGCTAATAGGGCAATGTCGTGAAATGGGGTCAAGTACCATCTTGTCGCTAAGTGAGGCAATGTTGTGGTTCACAAAGGCTAGATCAGGGTTGAAAACGCGTCTCCAGGGTCCACGGTGGAAAGACTTCGGCAGTTTCGCAATGTGAATAAGGCTCAATTGACTTGTTTCAGCGCTTCAACAGCGTTGCCGCCTGTGTTCGAATGATAGCCAATGATGCTGCTGTGGTTATTAAATCCCTGATAATTACGCGTGGCTTGGACGGTTTTGTGGATTGTTGTGGTCGCATTAGGAAGGGGCTTCCGGGTGGTTTGAAGACAGATGTTATGGCTACTCCACCAAGCTCAGCATTCAGGACTGTGATGTTCTGATCTTCGGATTTGGATGTTGACTGGATGACAATGCCGGTTTTGAACCCCCCCCCCCAAAAAAAAAAAACACTTTTGGATTTTGGGTCTGTTATTGTTGAGACCACGGTGCATTCCTTGCAGGCAAAGGACATCGCACTTGGTGCCCTTGCAGATATTGACAAGAAGGTATTCCTTGGTTGGCGATATCCCCTCGAATTTTGCAGATATGACTGTCAGCGCCGGCCCGCAAGAGTCCACTGTTGTGCCCTGCTAGGGGCGGGGTGGCGATAACATCTTGAGTTTGGAAAGTCATCTGGAATTTGGGGAATCATCTTCTTCCTCCGTGGTTAATTAGAAACAGGAAATACCACTGGCACCAATTATAGCCAATGCCCTCTATGCAGTCAAAGCTGCAGGCTTCCATGCTTTCAGTGGAGCTGAGCAGATGGGCAAGTTTTCGTTGAAGGGCAAGCTCAATTGTTGGCAGGCACTAAATGAGTGTTTGCTGATGTGTTATCTGCCTTTGCTGCGCTGGGAGCCTCCAGCTAGCTACACAACCGCAACAGAATGAGGCATTGATGCAGTCAGTGTATGCCAACCTGTCACGTTGCTTGAGTGATGACGACCATGAGGAGGATGATCCTTCTTCCTGTAGTTCTGACACTGCAGCATTTTTTTTCCTGCTGGTTTGGTCGGCCATGGACACGATAATTTATACAAATTGTAGAGATGAACACGTGTTTGCTGTAGGATCCAAAATTGTATCTACATGTATGTCACGTTCAAAGGAAAAGATGTCATGTTAATAGTCGAAAATACGTTGATATTTTGCTAGAAAATTCAATGGTTTATACTCCACTCACTAACAGGAGCAGTTACTTAGTATACGAAGCATTATTAAAAACCCCAAAGAGGTAAATGGATACTTAAACAATACTTAAGCTCCTATACTAACATCATATTGTGTGGATTTTAACCTGTTTGGGGGTATATTGTGGAAAATGAGATAAAGGTGTCAGAAACTGGTCCCAGAAGATGGTCCAACCAATTGCCACAAATAAACATTGAATGCCAACGGAAGTACTTCGCCCCCACTACCCACATACTGATTCTGCATTTCAGCATTGATTTACTGATGCCCCCCCCCCCAGTAAAACATTCTGGATCCTCCCCTGCCATTAATAATTATTCCATCTTTCATTTACAATATATAATCCAATGACACCCTCAACTATCTTGATAATCACTATGCATCACTATTTTGTACACACAAATACGTGTGTAATGTGTGGGATGAATGCCACCTGTCAATTACTAGTCGATTTGTTTAAATTCACAGATCAGACATTTCCTAAAGATAATGACACAATCGTCGATGAGACTTCTGTATCGTTGAGCATCGAGAGTGAGAATACGATCCAATGCCCACTACTCCCGCAAGCACCAACTGAGACCGATACCACAGTGTACTGGTCAATCTTGACTGATAAGGACAACAAATTTGGTATTATTTTTGCCAAGTTTGCTAACGGAGATACCATGTTAGTTCAGGAATATGCTGCAACGCATGGCCCAGAAGGAAACAATGGACTGTATATCGAGCGTTTTAAAAGAAGAGACGAACGGTATTGCTGTCACGTGTTCGAGCAAGGGAATGACCTAAGAACTGCGTGTATCGACGTGACTTGGCTTGGTGAGTGTCTCTGATTTTGATAACGTCAATGTACGTGAATCCAAAATGTGCGTGCATTATTTTGACGCAAAGGGTGGATAACCTCTTATTGTATCCATGTACTACTCGTTATAATCCTACGGACGTCAGATAACAGTACTGCTATCTCAATGTGGAGTGGCGACTAAAATATTATGCATCCTTTGCTAGGTCAAAATGTGCGGTAACACCATACAAATTATCTCTCTGTGAGTTGTGTTTTTATGAGAAAGACCATTTTGTTTTACTTGATGTTTGAACCGTATGCTATGTTCGTCATCTGGAGACTACTGGACACTTGCTGGTGTATTTTTAAAAATAGTGGATGCTGAGTCAGTTGACCGTTGAGGCTGGATATTCTGGAACAGGATGCTAAGTTCGGTGGAAGGTTCAGGCGGAGGATTCAAATAAGATGCTAAGATGCTCGACAGGGTGTTGAAGTGGGATGTTCTTGTGGGTGCTTACTGAACAATGTCGGAAGGTTTGTGGTAGAGCCAGGGGAAACATCAAGCAGAGTGCCTAGGGAACCCATCGGCCGAAAATATTGAGGGGTAAATACCTGATGGGATAGGATGGGGTACGTGTGTATAGAAGACCCATTGGGCCTACGATGAAGGGGTGGTCACCATATTTCACCGAGGTGGTACCCAAAGTCTTGTAGAACTGTACTGATTTTTATGCCCTCCCTGACTCGCCGGGGTGCCACTGTTGGATGCTGGTGATGATGTCTTGTGCGCAGTACGGAAGACCTCAAGTCAGTGTCGTTCACGATGGGCTGATTAGGTGTGAGGAACTGCATATGTATGTGATGGTTACCGATGGTCTTTCGTCTTGTGTCTTTCGTCTTGGATCCAGTTGGTTGTGTTTACGTTTCGTTGCAGCGCTGTAATGACGTGTTAAGTTGTATTGTTATAGAGTTATATGTTATATAGAGGTATTGTGTGCATATTTGAAGGCGTCTTTTGCCATATCGTCGTATAAAGCCCATATTAAAAATATTCAAATCGTCTATTCTAACAACAGCTGTAGCAACTGAAAAGCGTCCCACAATTTTAGACTGCGACTCCGCGGGCGAAAGTTGTGAGGTGAAAATCGAACCTCACCAAGACTGCCTACAGCTTGGATGTTCTATCAATGAGGTCTACCCAAAGCCTACCCTCAACTGGTCGTACACAAACTGCAAAGAACGTCCAACCTTCTTCTCAACTTCGTCATCAACAGAAAACCCGAAAAACCGGACCATTGAAGTTTTTAATGTACAATCCAAAGTTTACCTGGTTGGCTTACAACCGTCCTTCGACGATTGTAGTTTGGTCTGTACAGCTCACGGTGAGGCCATTCCGGACGAGATGAAGCCAGCAAGTGTATCCATAACACGTAAGTCTGCTTTGCTAGAATTACATAGTAAAAGCAAAACGAAACCCAAATGCCGGGCCCGGTATTTGGGTTTCGTTCATATATTTTAGTGTGAAGTTCCTATTCTAGATTATAAAAGCCCACTTCATAAGCTTTCTTTTTGTACAAAATCATTCAAGTTAATGAATTTTAAACACATCCACCGCTTTAAGGTTCTGTCCACGGATCACAAAACAAGTTCAGTTTATTTCAGCAAAACAAAAACAAATCGCATTGGGATGTGTGTGAATTGCTTTCGTTTTGCTGAAAGAACGTTTGTGTGATCCGTGGACACATCTTTAAGACGGTGGTGGTTGTATTTAAAACTCTGTTACTTAAAAAGTACACTAGCGATTTGAATGATTCCTGTACTAAAAAAGGAGGTGGGCTAAAATGTCGTAGATGTTGCAAGTGCGACATGCAGAACTTCACTAAACCAAACTCCCGAAGTTTGGGATTCGTTTTTTTTTTTTTACTCACCCATAGAGACACATAGGCCTATTAAGTTCCGACTTTGCTGGTCCAAGAGGGCAGGCCCAATGAGCCCTTTGTACTTCACTGACTGACTTACAGACTGTCTGGCTGGCTGACAGCTCATTATTATTTTTGGCTTACACAAATTGTTGACTGGTAAGAGGAGGGCAGGGGCAGCTCTATTTTGTGTATAATTACTCTGTAACGGCAATGAATCGGCAAGGCCTACATACGACCTGTTGATTAGACCTTGGTATGGCAAAATCTAAAGCAATTGCATAGAATACTGTGCCAGCTCTGACATTATTGTTTGGGACCAGCTATACTAGGCTTACCTTAAGTCTTGTTTTAGAATGAACCTTCTTACATTTTCTCTAGGTCTTACGGAAACTACAACATCCCAGATAGTGACGAGCACACGTACCTGTCCTGTCTGCAACTGTTCCGTTTGGCGTGGTCTTTTCTCTCTGGCGATGTTTTTTCTTGTGGTTTTTGTCCTGACTGCTGTCTTGTTGATATGTCCAAAAAGTCGTAAATTTCTTCAAAATCATTCCGAAACCTTTCGCTGGTATCTTGAACAGTGTGCGGAACCGAAAACAGAGAAGTCGTGGCGAGATATTGAGCATGTCCCGCTTGAAGGTAAAACATGTCCGTTTGGTATTACATCAATATGACTAAATGTAAAATGGTCATGTTCAAATTGTACCCGTAGACTTTATACCAAAATGCTGCTTTTACCTAGTGCTTAATGAAATGTGCTTTAGTGAGAATTTGAATAATAATATATCGTTTTGAATTCCCTAATGTGGATGATTTACTATAAATGAATTTATTTTATTCAGGTTTGGGAATGATAGTGACTACACCCCTGATGCCAACTGGATATGAAGATTATGGAGTCGCAAATGAGAAAAAGAGTATAGTTGTTTTTTTATTCATTAAAAATAGCTTAAGGTAGCATGATAAACTTTGACATTTTCAAAAAAGAAAAACATTTTTGATTTAACTCTAATCGTCTTGTCCCTAGTTTTCAGATGAATGGCGTGTATTTTCACTCCAATGCAGTTTTCTTTCGTTTGGAATTGAAACAGTTAGCTAGGAATTTCAGTTTTTGAGGTGATATAGTATTACAGAAGTCACTTTCACAATTAAAAGTGTGAATTTTTTTTGTTTTGTTTTGCAGATAGGGTATGCCTTGAGAACCGAGGGAGCGATGATGTTGAAATAACAGGTTTGTTTAAGTCTTGAGCGACACAAATTAGATTTGAAGTTGTTGCTGGTCCCAGAGGGCCAATTCATAGTATTTAATCTACTGATCGACTTTACTCAACTCGATGACTACTGACTTCCTGTTAATTTCAGTAAGGCGATACTATCGTATAGGATTACCCTGTAACGTCAATGAATGAACTTTTTCCGACCCACTGTGTACACAAAATGCATGAACAGATTCCAGTTAATAGCCATTCTTAACTATTTGAATATAATCTTGTGCGCCATCAAGTTTTACGAGATTTGCCTGCAAATTGGTCTTGTTATAATGCTATAAAAAAGCTTTAATATTGATTTGTCAATAGATGCCAACTTTATTTGGAATTACGAGGGACAGTTGCTTACAGAGCCTGCTCTGGAGATTGGGAATGAGAGTGGATTCCAGGCTATCACAGACGTCATCGGTATCCAAGATGGCGGCATGGTGGTCATTGATTCAAAGGGCTTGCACCGATTCACGGTTGAGTATCATTATCGGTTTATTGATCTGTATGAGGCCTTGGGTAACAGAGGTCACACGTGTGTTGCACATTTTACGGATGACAAGCTGCTGTTTGGGCTCCAATGGGGTAGAGTTGTGATTTTCGACATTGTAAATGAACAGGTCGGTAACTTTGCTTCTGTCTATCCAGTTAAAGATAAGACAGTGCAGTTGGCTAGCATAGTGGTGAGTAGTTTGGGGTATGTGTTTGCAAGTGACGAGAATGGGAAAACAATCTCAGTTTTTGATCATGAGGGTGTGTGTTTGAAACGCTTGGACACCCCAAGTATTCAGCCAGGGTCTCTGGCACTTCATGTCCGTAAAGAGGCGCTAAGCTTCTTCGTCACATCGGGTGAAGTAGTAAGGAAGTATCATATGTATGGAGAGAAAAAACAAACCAAGATAAATCACTCCATCCATTTTGACATCAACAAAGAAAGACTAGAAAGTAAGGAATTCAAACCTGGCTATATATCAGTGCAAGAAGACAAGCTTTTGGTTGTAAACCATCTCGACAGTCCGGAGTTATTGCAGATTTTACAACTGAACATTAACGAGGGGAAATTCCTGCATAGCATTATAGCTAGGTCACCTGGTATTCGTGGCGTGAAGTTCATCAGTGGAGACAGGATACTTCTCTATTCTGGTGACTCAGTTCACGTATTTGAAAAGAATGATGCAAAACAATAATAGTTATTTATGATAAAAGGCTTCTCATACAAGACCCTTTTCCAAGGCAAAACAATACAACTCAAAAATGATCATTTTGAGAAAAAAAAAGACTTTGAAGTTCCATTTTTTGCCATTTGTATGCTTTAAATACCGTTGTGTTTTTTTTCTCACAAATTTGTGCCAGTCATATTTTCTTTAAATTCTGACATTTTTAGACTGTTTACAGCTAGGTTTCTTATACTTATCACCATTGTTATGAAGTTGCACTCTTATGCCGTGCCTTATTTGTCATATGAGATTTACACATTCCAAGACAAAACAATGCATTTTGTTTTGACAAGAGCACTTTTTTTCAGAAATTCTACTGCAAAACAATGCATCTTTATTTGAAGGGCAGCCAAATTTTATAGCGCCCTATGTTGTTAACATATTATATGGGAAAAGGATTTTGTCCCGACCGTCAAAAATTTTTGACACGAATTCATTCTCACGTCAGCATTTTGTTTCAGTACAACAATGCAAAACCAGATGAATGTTGAAATCGACAGAAGGGTTTTCGTGTCAAAACAAGGCAGTTTGAGTTGGCTTGGTCTGAATGCATACATTGTCTTATGGCAAAACAAAGTATCTATAAGATGCATTGTTATGCCATTGTAAAGTGCTATAAATTTTCATAGAAAATGAAACTAAAACAATGCATATTCAGTTACATTCTTTTGCTCTGGTTGATGTTAATTTAGAGAAGTCATTGAAATTAGCAAGAACAATGCAAATACAAATTAGCCTTTTTGCCAAATAAAAAACTGCATTTTGGGAAAAACAACTTCAAGCAAAAAGGGAGCAACATGTAGAACAATACAATACTTCTGGTAAGATACATTGTTCTGCCGTGGAATATTTGGGAAATGCCGAAAACATGCCGAAAAATGGCATAAATTAACCCGGAAAATAAATATCGTGCGACCTTGAAATTTTGCTAAATGAAAATAGCACCTCCATATTTCCTAGAAAGGTTATTATCTTAAAATGTCAAAATTTTGAGATACATGGTTTTGCCTAGGATACAATACCCATAATTAAAAACAGGCATGTTTTAAGATCCTCCTAGAATACTCGAAGTGATTTTGGCAAGCGAATATGCCTTAATTAACAGCTAATTGCATGGGTAAGGACGAAATGATACAAAAAACATCATCACAAACTGAATTTCTTTTTTTATTTTATTTTTTTTTCAATATAAAAATGTAACGTATGCAAATAAGAATCGAAACATTTTAAACTTTAAAGTTTGAATTTTGTACAATAGCCAACGAGCGTCTAAATATTTCCGATTTCATTTCATCGATTCTTTGCAAAATATTAAAACCCTTTTATAATACTGTTCTCAAATGTAGTAAAGCGTCGTAATGTCTTTAAAATGATTACGGCAGTTAACGTGGACAAACACGCAGCGCAAGTCGAGGGTTATGACCTGTCAACCCTGTGTTTATTACATGCAATTTGGTAATCATCGTGTGAACGTTGACCCTTCGGGTATATTTTGTTTGGGGTTTTTCCACAGCCTAAAATAAAATGGATGATTATGAACAACCACATTAAACCATGCTTTCTATTGGTATGAGTCTGTTAATGGTTAACTGCTCAGTTCTCGTTTAGCATATCATGCAGGCGTATACTAGCTTTCCCGTTTTTATGGTTGCATATTTCGGCCGGCTGTATGCACACTTCATGCATTTACATGTATTAAGTACGTGTGTATTGTACTGTTCCCTGGTTGTGTGGCTCTTTTGTTTGTTATTATTGGTTTTGATTTGTTTTGCCTAAAAGCTCTTTTAATACATTTCACGGAACGGAATGTAATTAGTACAAATTCGAGACTAGAAGTCCGTCGTTTCCTTGTATCATTTGACTGATTACATACGCACTGCAGTTTGGTTTCTTTTTTTTTAGCATAATTCACAAAGTGTGATAACATGTAATGTAGGAATTGGCGGGGATGCTCCTTGTATAAAACTGTTGATGCACTTCGGACCAATGCAGTCCGTATACTCTTACGTTTGTATAAACTTTGATTGCAGCCAGTTGCACAGAGAACGTTGTTAACGGATGTGAACAGATTTGTGTATTGATATGATATTTACATTTCAGTTGCTATTGCATACAGTCGTGACTACAGTCCATGCTCGTGCGATCCAAAAGGTGAAGGGTCATAAAATCACAATGACAATGTAAACAGTTTCTTATTTTGCTATCTTTTAGCTGCATTACTGAGTCTGCTGCTCTAGGTGTGATGCACATTCGAATCGCACTTTGCCCCAGACATGCATCGTTTATCGTGGATATTGTTTTAGACTTTAACCTGATGGAGTATCGATAATTACATTTTCAGCAGAATTACTTTTTAAATAAGAGACAGAGCATCATTATGGTTTAAATCAGGCAGAAATATGGCTTTATTTACAGCGGTACTGACACTAAGCTATATAGATTTTTGAATTTCTTGATATTTTCAGAGAAGTAACGTGTTTTTATATTCACTGTTTTTGCATATCCAGATTTATTTAATTTAGTATTAATCTTTTTCGTCTACTATATTAGTGAAATGTTCAGAATCCGATATAATAACACGCACGTATTTGAGTATACAAGTCTTGATGCAGGTTGTCTTTAAATACATGCAATTTACACTAGATTTTGTTTTCTCCAAAATGAGTGGATATGTCACATAGGCATGTTGATTTCTGAATTTTTAAGCATGTATAGACTTTGCTTTGATACAATCCAATGTACTGCCCGCAAGGGAATCACATTTCAATTGTACATCCATCATTTCCATTGATCACATAGTTAGCTAAAATGAAAACATTAAAGTCTAGTCTAAACTATTTTGCCAGATTATTTTAGACAGAAAGTATCATGATTTTCCACTTCACTAAATGTGCTTCTGAAAATTTGCTGTAGTATTTCCGTTTACAAATTATAAATATACTACCAATAAATTCATGTTATTATCCGCCTTATAGATGTCCTGTGTATTTTAGGTGCTGCTTTATTCGTATTCTGTGCTTGATTAACCTTTAGCTATTATTATTATCTTTTATTTTTTTGGAAAATTACAACAGCTTAATCAATGCATTTTGGAGTTCTCCCACCAAAACAACAACAAAATGACTTTGTAAAGCACTGAGTTATTATGTACGATACATATACAGGGTTGTGCAAAAAGAAGAAAACAACCCACATTTGACAGAAATGATAACCTTTTTACTTAAGGTATTTGAAGTGTTATTGTTTTTTTTTTTATAATGTAGTGAAGTACAGCTCTTCAACCAACGAAAATCTTTTTAAAAAATCGCAAGAATTGTGTCACCAAAATTACTAATGTCCATGTGTAAGTCTAGTGCAGTGTTTTTTTTTTCGTCTTCATATCAAGCTCCGAGGCTCAGTCAGGCGGATGGAATAAAGCCGTCTGTGGATAAACAGGTTTAGTACATGAAATTTGTAAATTGCAATTTTGAGAGACAAAATATGCAATTGCAATCATTGTTTTCGTCTTTTATGTTTAAATATCAATGTTTTTAAACCGTTATGATTTTATATGCTCAACAAGTAGGAAAACAGGTGTTATCAAAGGTACTTTAGTGCCCTTTTTAGTTTATTTGCTAATGTGAAAAAGTATGTTATCATTCCAGGTAGACACGTCAATGTTATTTCAGCAGCACATGTTACCAGAAATGACATCATAGCAACAGCGCCCTCATATGTCCAGAAAGCATGGCAAATGTTAAGGCATGTCATATAATTTTCATACATTTAAGAGGAGAAGAAAGTTGCACAGAATATTTTCCTCAGAAGAACTCTTTACATGGACCTTTGAATCATTTGAACCTTAAATGTTTGTGCAGTGCAATATGCCGCCAAGCTAGTTGTGCGTTTCTATGACATAGGCAAGAAATGGGTAATATCATAGGGGGTATTTTCTGACCTCATTAAAAATAAAATCTTTGCATGACGATTCAACTCATCTGCACAACGCCCTTACGACAACTTCAATCAGCTATAAAGGGACGGTGTCCAGTTGTATGGGTAGCCAGTCTAAAGAACCTGCTAATTTAGTAGTGAACCTCACTAATTTGTAACATCTTCGCAAATGTCTTGTTGGATTTGCCAAAAAGAACCTTCAGTACCAGATGAACTTATTCAAAGATATACAAAGCACGTTTATTGAATTCGTTGAGAACTTAAGTATGTACAATAAATTTCCCCAAATGTTAATACCTAGTTACAGAGCGATTTGTAATCAAGTCATTTCAACCTTAGTCCTATAACAAATTATTATTAAGTCAACGACAGGTTATTCTAGTGTCTTCCTGTCTCAAGTCAAGGGCAAGCTAATCAAACGAACTTTGTCACAGTACAGTTCTACCTTTGTAAGTGTTAACCCTCTTATGTAACCTCTGACCTGACTTTGGATTATAACTCTGATCCGGAGCTATACAACTATTAGCCTGAAATCATGTAGGTACTCTTTGAGTATATGCGAGTAAAAAATAAATTGTTTGAAGAAAAAAAAGGGGGAAAACTCGTTTTGAGTATTTGCTTTCCACTCCTTTAAAATGTTTGTCCACTATTGCCCATAGTGGAAACTTCTATAAAAGAGTGAATTAATTACCATCTTTCCAAATAGTCATACGGTGACAACTTTGTGCGGTTTTTCACTCGTCTACATTTACAGAGTACTAGACTTCTGTTTCAGCTAGACACTATATTTCAACTCAGAATCGGAGGCGTCGATTAGATATGGTTTGTCTTATTTCTCCAAGCCTGATTTCCTAAGAAGTCAATTCATCACAGTTGTTTTCTGCAATGAGTGGGACTGTGGGTGAGCGAAAGCCTTCAGCTAAGGCGTCAATTATTTCATTTGGGGACATTCCACGGTAGGGATGGGCACCTGCAAACATAGAGTTACATTGATTCGATTCCAATAAGAACAAATGAAAAGATCTTTGCACGCATAAGACAATGAAATATTGTGCAAAGTTTGATTAACAAAAATAAATTTG